ACTGTTTTCAAAATAATTATGGACTATCTATTGTGCGTAGTAATTTCCGTGAGGGTGTAAAACAAACTTACAGTCCATGTTTATCCGGCCATCAATCGTAACATGATAACTTGTTATACCACACGAGGTAAATGTATATTGGAATGATTAAGTGATGTCTTTCGGAGTTGAATAACATCCATGTATTTTGGTAGAATGATGTTGACCCTTTAATCCGAATGACATTACCGTACGCTGAGATTCTAGCTCAAATGTTTTGTGGAATATTGCGAATTTCGAAACCAATATCCAGAAGATTTGACATACACAACAAAATCGGTCATTGTTATTCCATAAACATTACCATAGGCATATTAATCCGTCCTGTTTTACTGTGAACATTGCGATAGCCAAGAAATACAGGACAATTTCAAAATACTCTGAAGAGCATGATTTAGTTTCGTTATTCCGGAAAAACAAACATATACGTATTAACGTTAATCTGAACACAAACAATTACAAAATTTAACCGGAATAGGGCATAGCTATAGAAACATGTTCGTTACGCTTATCTAGAAAACGCACGTGCAATGGAACACTGGCGTCCATATGTGACGCAGAATCAATGAGATCCTGATTTCGTCACGAATTACTGTCCAAAGCTATCACGCTGATATGAGTCAGAAATCCGAGCAGAAGTTTATTTAGATTATTAAAGTTGTGGTTTCTAGATTTGTTTATCTTTATGACAAAAGAGCCCTTTGATATACATAAAAATAGAGTATTCATTGTCTTTTCAATTCATTTCAAAAAATAACATACGGATCGTTATTATATAATAGGACGGACGATAGCACATGCTTTCTATGTACTACACGTCTGTTCAGATTGTCCTGGTTACCGCACGGTACCGTGCAGATACGAAACTTCCAAGACTGGGATAGGATTTCAATGTATCAATGCTTGTTCATATGAACTCGATTTAAAAAAACACATGTGCACATCAAATAAAATGGCATCAATGGAGCCATAACATTGCTTTTTGCGTGACTTTCTCGTATGCATTGTTAGGGACAGACTGCGATACAAGCAGTGGTTTCTGTTGATTGGCTTCGAATGTCTGGGACATGCTGTGAATTGAACCCTGGCGTGATACATATAAACGTTACATATATACTTTGGCTTTCATGGTGTACATATGAATTTGTCTTTTATCTGTTATGAATATTAAAACTTCATCATATTAAGTACACGCACAGCGACATGTCTGGTACAGATGCAAAGAACATCGACATACAAAGGATTGTTAAAGTACAGAATTCTGACTGCTGGAACTGTAACCTGTACCAATTTTACTTCCGGCAAGCCAAGTATCGAATTTCAAAAGCCAATGATTTCCGACCTTAACTGACATATTCATTACTTTGCACGCTACTAAAGACACATAAATCCTCTTTTTATGTTCGTAGAAATTCTTATTAACAGACCTTAAACGAAGGCCGATAACTTTATGAATATTCGATATTCCTTGGGCACGACCTTCTGAGAAAGAAACAAATGGGCTGTCAGGCCTTGAGTTCATGAACAGCTCATACATTCAGTAAAGAAAGGGGTCTTTTTATATGTGGAAATATAGACTAAGATCTTAGGTTTTCTTTAGTAGTGTCCATACATACTTAGACTCAAAAATAATCGGTTCAAATATTATCATTTCCGCGTACAACTCCTAAACAACGACTTCTCACGCGAGACAGAGATATATATTTTTGGTATGTTTGTATCCTGAAGTAAAAGACGTTTATTTTTTATGGATTTTATATCAACAAGTCCGAATTGAATTACAATGTGAATAATTGTTTTAAAATATCATTTCAAAATAGGGGCCATTATGTACTTTGGTAATGCAGTTAAGCGCCGCCAAAACGGTCAGGCTTTGCATGATATGAATCCAATTTTTCTATTTCAGATAATCAAGATTCTCCAAAATAGATTTTACGCGAAAGAAAGAAAATGTAACATTTTTAATCTGAAATGTTTACAATTTAAACCAGCAATTTACTGAAAGGTTCGATCAAAACGATAAAAGCAATATCAACAGCATATATCATCGCGCAAAAAGGAATATGGTTGTATGACATATCACGGGAAATGGCGACGGTATCGATGATAATAATACAATGATTATAGTGATACACGTTTGTCTACAAACCGTATTCCGGCAAACAAAGATAACCAGTTTCAACCTGGTGACAAAACACGATAAAGTATGTAAATATCTACATTCTCAGTATGCTGTAGAGCTAAATGATTGCGCTAATGGGACGACGAATTCACGATACAGCACGAACACATATATCAACAAATGACGTCATACTGACGTTTGACTCACAGAATCTGTTAGTTTAAGCTGTAACGTAATAAACTTGAATTATTGCGGAGTTAAAATTGTCGGTTATTTTGCTTTCATCATATTTTCGCGAATATTTCAACGCATGCGAGCGTAATATCGTGAGGATATTTTGACATTATTTTTTTTTTCTACATTAAAAAAGAACAAAACTGAAATATACATCACCAGAAAAATATGTGACCAGTTAAAAGTTAAAAAAAACATCAGAAATTAAAAGGATTCTATTTCCTTTAATTATTGTGAGAAATATTTATATCAAGAAACAGTGTGTGTGGTATTTTTCCAGTTGAAAAGTGACAGTTAAAAGCAGCCGTGTCTCTGTAAATTTGGTGTCTGCGTATGACATGGTTGCCTCCCTTTAAAGATACGGTTCCAGACGACAAGTACAATATGTATGTATGTCCGTTATATTGATGTATTACAATAGTAATAAACGATAGTTTTGTGCGGAATTACAGGATTCAGCGGAGGAATCTTCATAAATCGATAGTTCCATAATCAAACATGACAATGCAAAGACCGTGGTGGTCTGGGAAAACCCTCGAGAGTCTACTACATATACACACCCATCACACCGCTACCATTCTTGTCATCTAGTCCCTCCCCTTCTAAAATCATACTCATCTCAGCCTCGCCTCTCAACCGATTCCTTACTAACCTCTTGAAAGTGACGCCGGCATTACAAACGGATATTCGTTGATGTATGACCCAATGCTGAACGAAAATACTTTCCCGATGCGGTTGTAAAAATGAAGCTAATTATTGGAAAACATTGATTAATCAAATTGCATTATACAGCAGATACACTCTGCCGAGTATCCTTAGCTCCAATCAGATCACCCATCATGGTATTCAAATCGTGTATATGGGATTTTCAAATCATACATCACATTGAGGCTGTTATCAACAAGTTTTGCCGCGCTTAAATCAGTTTATTTTTTTTGCGGAAAATCATTTCTGAAAATGTCTTAAGAGGAAATCGGCTCAATGTTTACCATGTCTTTGAAATTCGTGCCGACTTAAAATCGATTTGTACAAATAACTAGACACTCTAGGCATCGTTCAAGACTGTCATTGCTAATCATACTGAACTTGCATCATCTGTAGCTAGCTACGGCCCACTGCTTACAGATACATATATTTACTCCTTATCATTTAGCATCAATCCCGCATAAAATAAATACAGATCAGTCCCGCAGAAAACAAATATGGATGTTTACAAATAATTTATATCCTTGCCTCCACATTGAAATGTCATTAATTTCTGTACTATTTCTACAAATGAGCTTATCTCTGTATCAGAGCGTGCGGTTTTTGTTATTCCCGTGAGCGTGCGGTTTTTGTTATTCCCGTGGATACATGCTAATTCATATAAATTCCTACAATAACAGACACTGATACATCTGTGGTGTTTACACGTGCATGGCGTAGGCCACGCTCGACCACGTGCACAGCGGGTTCGCGTGTGTTGGTGTGACTGTTACTCTCTGAGATATAGATCCGAAGTGTGCGTGCGAAGAGTTTGAAATTCTGTACGTCTGTAGGATTTTATATATATGTATATATATATATCTAAATGGCTCGTGTCTAAACAACACCAGGTCCATTTGTAGTGTTTAAAGGAAACATGTCGTGTTTCAGTGTTTTTTTCGCCAGTTTACACTGTATCTTGCAGTTTATAGCAGATATGCTGGGGAGGTCCTTGCAGACATCACATACAATCTGACACAGCTTGTCGCGCGATGCCTTTACTGTCGACAATTAGAATGATAGTGTATTGTTTGTAAGGTATTGATCCGTATAATCTAGAGAGACATGCGAGGAGAAAGGTCAAGTCCATTCGTACAACCTCGGACTTCTTGTCACTGACAACATTTACATAAACCATGGCTGTTTTCTCCTTTTCATATTTAAGCTATTATGCATTACAGGAGAAAAAATCTCCCTGAAGACAGGGTTTATGAAGCTCAACATATGCCGAGTGTATATATGGCGCTTTGCACATAAAGAGATTTTTGTATACATTCACGTGACCAGTGTACGTAAAATATTCATACCCGATATGATTGTCTATATCAGACTGTGCCATGTATTGATTTAGTCATCAGCCTTTCTTTCTGTCAATTCATATATTTTACTTTTACTAAGTTACCATACTAAACCCTTATACTTAGGGCGCATGCGCAAACTCGTTTATTCCGCGCCTTGCGGAGAATTAAACGAGAGTTAGGTTTGACACTGTTTTGCTGTAATGGGTTGCTGTATGAAATTAGACACTAAGATACGTCATAGTTTTGAATTATGCCGACTATACGATGGTCACGCTTACTATGAATCAAGAATGAACTTCTATGCATTTCACACGAGCCATAGATTGGAGACCGTACCTAACTCTGTAACAGTCAGTATTGATAGATCGCGAGCTCCACACACGCCGCTATGGAGCTGCCGACCGATCTTTGACAACTCGGCTATGTGCTGCTACACAGTTAAACCGTATTGAAGTTTCTGAAACAATGCTAGGTCGCTATGAAAGGGGACCTTTTCCTTTTCCCTGGTTCGTCTTGAATCGTCTCGTTTCTGTTGAATTTGGAAGTTTACTACACCAGACATGGGAATTCGTGTGATATTGTACTATTTACTCTTCTGCTCCATTCAAAGGATTTATCCGCACGTGATTATAAAGCAAAGAGGACAGAGTACTATACCGACCAGGTATGGGCACGTTAGAGGGGTTCTGGTAGAGCTACCTGTCAAGCCTCCGGGCGCGAGCTTAAAAAATGTCGAGGCATATCTAGGCTTGCAGTTTGGTTTTCTAAGGTCTGATATTTTGCGTTTTATGGCCCCTAAGGGTCCAGTGGATACATGGAGAAATGTGAGATACGCAGACAATTACTCGGAACCTTGTCCCCAAAAAAAGTTTAATCGGAAGGAGCTAAGGAAGTTTTTACCAAATGGCACTATTGAGCATATACATCGTGTGTCACAATTTATAAATACTACGACAGAGGAATGTTTACACCTCAATATCTATGTACCGACGAAAGACAAGTCTCAAAGTAAGTATTACTGATGTTTTTTAAAATCAAAATCACTCGTAACATATACTAGATACACAGTGATTCGCTGACCTGTCATCAGTAAGGCGACGTCAAGATACTATATGTTATTCATTTTTCAAAAACAACAACAAACATCCGTGCTATGTCTATTTGAAAACTGACGCGATTTTTAAAAAGGCTTAAACAATATTATTATAGACTTAGATATATATTCCTGCATTGTATGCTAATTTTTCTACAAAATGAATATTTCATAGCGTTGGAAATAACAGATGTGCAGGTTGTTTATTGCAATTTCTGTAATTAGTCAATAGGATTGGCATTACTTTACGTGTGATTAGTACAATTCACCTGAAATGGGATTCTAATTAATCCAATATAGAACCAGCGTGACGCTTATTTATTACACAAAAATCAATACATTTCGCGAAGGTTTACTCCATAAAACTGATTCCAGGTGCGATGGTGTTGTCATAGTGCATGAAGTCGTGTTGAAAAGTGGTTAAATATCTATATAAACCATCTGTTCATATCACAGATATTTAAATCGGAACCCGAGATATATACAGCTGATGTTATTTCTCACATAAACCACGTAACAGCGTTTTATAGCTCATATTCTGTAATGAATTCTTAATAGAATGGAATATTTACGCGCAAACATAATGATTCTGTGTGGTACTGAATATCTAATATCGGGTAAAAAATTATACTGAATATAATAAATTCCAAAATATGTTTTAAAACAGATATTTACTATATCAGGTAAGCGTGATCTGGCTGGAAAAGTGTTTAAATCATAACCAGTATTCCGATTTGTCTACTGAACATTCTGTAGTGTTCCGCGTCGCTGCAAACAGAACTCATTTTGAAACAAAGTGAGATTATTCCTGAAAGGTTGGAGCAAAGATTGGACCTAAAACTGTGGTTTTACTAGAATTGACTGTGTTCCATGCCAGATTCTGTAGGGTTGTCTTTGTAGTTCTCCTCAGCTCTCACACATATTGGGCTTCTGTGTTATCTTCCACGATGCTCACTAATAACAGGCTTGAACATATTCTCCTTCTACAATTTCTCAACACTAGCGGCGAACGGGAACTGCATATCGCCCTTAATCGACTCCTACTATCCCGTGGGTTTCTATAACAGGCTGAAAGACAGCTATTTACATGCTAGGATATGTAGCATTCTTTAGACCTGGTTACATCAATATCGTCTAAGAATTAAGAATTTTAGAAACATGAAATTAGATTAGTTCACAAATTTTAGCTGAAATGTATTCCCAGCAGGACTCCATAACAGATAACATGAAATACAAGGTCGGGGTATTATCACATGTTTATTTCTCCAGAGACCAGATTCAAAATGTCCAATAATGGAGGATTTCAAATCAAGCATGGCTGACGACTCGTACTGACATTGAGAAACTTGACTATCGTTTATTTGTTTACGTCACTTTCAGACATTTCATCATAATTAATCTGCGATCGCAAAGAATATCTTCAAATTTGTTACACTTAATCTGAAATTTTTGACGCGAATAACTTATATAATTTCTATGAAGTCTTCTGAAGTGAATTTTACCTCACTGAATGCATATTGCGACAGAGTAGTAGGCAGTTCGTATGACGTCATATAAGCAAAGACGTCATTTGAAATGTGACAGAGCAAAATAGTCTGCTATTTCTGAAAAGCGTCGGTATCAGTAGGGACTGTTCCCGATAGCATTTCGGTCTCTGTGAAAGCATTCAGTTTTGATTCTAATCTTTTCAAGAAAATATTTTTAAGTATATATTTAATAAAAGCATTGCGTACTTTAACAGCGCTTTGAAATGCTGTCATTTAAACGATCTCCTCGCATTATTGAAATACTTCATAAAATAAAGACAGATATATTGTAGATAAGAAAACACGCTCCGCTATTTGTTCTGATTTGCCAAACCAACAATAAATTTAAAGTTGTATTGGACAAAACACTAAGTAAAATTTATGCGAATGAATTGTGAGTAGAAATTCAAATTGCTCAATTATCAAACGTTTATTTGATTAGTTTAGTCCCGGATATAAAGGAAAGGCATGACTTATTTTTGTGGAACCAATAAATATTCACAAATGTGCGGTTGTTTCTTACTAATGGTATTGTAATTATTGCGCTGATCACTGCGATCATGTGCCGACAACACCAGGACGCTATCGATCTGCCGTGATTTCTCCACATCTCGCTGTCGTCGTTTAACTCGAAGGATAATTGGTTAATCCTTACCATTATTTGCCGTTAAAGAATACAGGAAATTCCAATAATGACGTTCGTTTGTAAAGTATAGTTATTACAAGGTAGAAGTTTGCATATAACTAGGCAGTGTTATAAGTACTCCATCGGTCGCCTTCTCGCTGAAATCGTTTTTTGTTTTGGTTACATTCTAACGGGTAAAAATAATTCTGTACGCAAGAAATATCTTTGTTTCTCATATATTTGTCTCAATTATCGATTTTTTTTTTATTTGATATACAGCGTATGTGATTATTAGAGCAGACTCGCTAAGATTACAAACTCGTTTCAATAAACTGCATATCAAATAGAAAATCTTCTAAAATTCTATGAATACAAACAAATCATTTGAGTTTAAATGTTAGAATGAGATATAAGGGATATTCCGTAATTTCTAAGCTTGTCGGTGTCAGTGTAATTTTGTGTCTACAGTATTGTTATGTTAACGATATTCAATGTATATGTTAATGTTTTCCCTTATATATACAATAAATAATGTATCGTTTGACACAGAGACATACACATATGCTAAGAGAACAATAGGTATATCATGCAAACAGATCGTAATCTACATATGCATATGTCCTTCAACGTAATATGCATGTTTTACGTTGTCACCAGTAAAACCATTTAGACTGGCAGATGGCATTACTGTAAATACGATCTATAACTGTGGAATCTTACATTCCCATCTACCATAAATCTTAGTCTCTGTTTTCATTTTCACGCACTTGTGTATCTGTATTAAGGTACAAAAACGTTTTTCATATTTTCGTGTCACTTATATAATGGCGTAAATACTCTTTTGTTTGCATTACCTATTTCATGCATGAAGCAATAAAGACACAGTGTTTATTCAGGAGATAAAAACCTTTCGTGTCTCATTTCCATTAGTTAATAGGATAAGCAATGGTCAAATCTATAACAGTCATCGACCCGGAAACTGGCACGTGAGGATTAGATCTTATCTTGACCGTCAATAATTTGTTTATAAATGCAAGTATCTGACCACTATACCTATTACTGCAGACAAAATCATATTGTCAGCATAATGCACTACCGGCTAAACAACAACTCGCTACTCTGTCTGTCTGTCTGTCCGTCCGGCTGTCTCTATGTCTGTCTGTCTATGTCTGTTTTTCTTTCTCTCTCTCTCTCTCTGCCTCCCTCTCTGTCTTTCTTCTCTCTCTGTCTCTGTCTCTCTCTGTCTGACTCTCTCTCAATCTCTCGCTCACAAACCCCTCCCCCCACCCCCCCACCCCCCACCCCCCCCCTCTCTCTCTCTCTCTCTCTCTCTCTCTCTCTCTCTCTCTCTCTCTCTCTCTCTCTCTCTCTCTCTCTCTCTCTCTCTCTACAAATTCGTGAGGTACATAATGGAATAAAACACGAAATGAGGCCAAATGAACTGTCTTATACGAGTGAAATTTCCAAAAACATGATTTACAGGTTTCCTTGATATCAAACACACTTTGCCACACAAGCCGAAATGACATTTGACCTTGGGAATATGTGCTTTTGCACAGTCATTACTTCTTTTGAGCGAATCATGTTTAAACTACGTCCCACATATCACATTTTTCTCTTGATGTTATTTTGTAAGAATGCATTTGTTGATAATAAATAACACCGAGGCAGAGGTTAATAGCTATTAACACTATTTCTACTCCTGCGTTTACATTTTCTGTCTCACCTGTTCTAGAACATTAACACCCAAACTCGAGAAGTAATGACTCGGCATTCGTCATTCGGAATGCATCGTGTACAGCCATCGCTATGTCTGTACTCGGATTTTTTTCATTGTGTGTAATCCTCATTATGACTCAGTTACAATCTTCTTTCAAAATGTAGACATAATCAAAGAGAAATTAGAAAAAGAAATGTTAATTTATGTGATTCAAACGTGAAAGTACGAGATTTAAAATGACAACGTATGATTACATTCCTGTAGAACGTTTTGAGAGAGTTGGTCAGGAAAGCGTATATCAAATCCCTAACAACATTCCAACAGGTGGATCATCTCTGATAGAAGCTCACATATCTGTAGTTCTGGAGAAACAGAACCCTCATTGTTCTATAATGTCGGTCGTTGTTTCAGGAGAGTTTTATCATATGAAAACTCATTCATTTGATAGAAAATATCTTTATAGCGTTTTGACATTAATCTGATCTTCTTCAATATGTATATTTTCTACTCGCTTGGTAAACGGAATCATGTGTGCTTTAAATGGAAGAAATGAACAAAATGGTGTAGAGCTATCACTTTTCAGTCGTGGGATTAAACATGCACATGAACAGGTCTTTGTGTATTCAACCAAACATAACTATCCAAGCATGAAGATTTTTGATGATCAAATTATTATCAAAATGCCTATGAAAATGGGACTAAAGAGCAGACACTAAATTTCTATCTTACATAGTTGTTTTGTCCCCAAAATCACCCTGATAGCGGAGTTAGAATTTCTACGTTAGCAGAGATTTCTGCATGTGCGTGATAATGGCAAGAAAGGGAAACATCATATATCTATAAAGACACACACAGACACATGTTAATAACGCACCAAATATTGAAAATCAAATAACACAATGTACTTGATACATAAAATTGCATCATACCGTTTCTTCGTTCTTTTAAAACTCTTTGGTGCAGAAAAAAATGTAGTCTGGAAGAAAAGATATGAATGTTTTGATCGACACAAAACACCGTCAAATAAGAATACTATTTCTTTCC